AACTTGAACTTATAAACCTTTATATATGTATTATGAACTTTTATATATGTATAAAAGAGGATTTTGGTTGACTGATTACCCCATGTATAAATACACAGCCGAAACTGCTGAATCTAGAATGTTAAAACTTTGAGGATAGGTTCTTTATATAGCACAGGTGAGCAATACAGATAGATTAATTAAATAGAAACAGTTTTTACTAAAAGGAAAATTTTTCGTCAGCGATGCGAGTTTCTAAAATGAACAATACTTCAGACGGTTGGGATTCTGGGAAGCTCGCTCCCGGAAAAGATACAGAAAGCAGTGCTCTTAGATACTGCCCGCATAGTACGCCTGTTTCTCTCCTTGAAGCTGAACCCCGGCCAACTGTTTCTGTAGGGGGTTAGTTTGCCATCTCCTCTCCTCAAGAAAGGAGATGTACATTTTGTAAAAATAAATAATAATAATAAATCATTATGTGATAAAAAAATATTTTTTCTTTCAAACATTTAACGTGCAGAGCTTGTTCTCCGGGGCTGTCATTAGCTAAAGTTCTCTCTCGGTATATTTCTATAGTTTCGGAATAAATGTTTAGACATCCAAATGTTGTACTTCCATTACTTTTCTGTAACAATATCCATTATGTTTTCCAAATGTTATGCATGTAGTAACACCGTATCAAATCCAAATCTAAAGTTTGTATTGCAAACACCTCGAAACAAATTTAAATGTCCATTTATCAAGCATCAAACCCGTTTGATTCGTTACGCTACCAAATGATATTGCATTGTATTGCGAAACCCATCTGTGCGCCAACCCTTGATTGTAGCCTTAAATAGAATAGGATGATAATCGACCTTAAAACTTATGTAGGAAAGTCTAAATTCGTCTAACGGTATGAAGAATAAAATTAAAGGTGAATGAAAAAAGGTGGTAAGTGACAAATGTAGTGATAATACAAAAATCTATCTAGTTCGAATTAGCTTAAAGTTGAAAATTGTTTGATATTTTAAATGCAATGGGTGACACGTTTTGAAAGCCGTAACCTATTAGCAATGACAAAACATACGGTTGTCAGCATGATACAGGATTTATTAGGTGCATTCTAGATTATTACTGTGATAGTGAGGTAAGTATATGCACTTTATTAAAATGCAATAAGATATAAAATGGCGTGACATGTTTTTTTAAAGATCGAAAAGAGAATTCGTAACCTTTTGTCGGTTGGAAATAATAATTAGATGTAACGAGGTACTTGATGGTAATGTCAATTGTTGTGTTGCAGTGTTTTAATTAGTGTGTATTATTAATGATGCACTTTGATATGGTGCATACACAGTACCTTAGATTATATAGATAGAGCATCGAGCCTCAAAAACGCGTCAACATTTTGACAGCTAATTGTCAAATTAGTTGACTCGTTTTTTATCAGTGTGCTATATACTTACGCACATAATGTAATTTAATTATTTAATAAATAAAATGAATTTTTACGCATTAAAAAAAGGAAAAAATATAAAACAAAATAAATATAGAAGTTATAAAGAAAACATTCATGACTATTTGTCACGTGAAATTGTATGAAAAAGTTGACTTGCTTTTCTCGAAGCATTTGTATGGAGACACTCTATCTGTATAATCTAAGATTATGCCCTGTAATTCTACTTTATTTTCGTTACTTTATATAGTAATTTTATAATTAAAAAATTCATAAACGTACATTTTTTTTAATTTCTAAAATAAAAATTTTATATCTACTATTTAGAATACTATCTAAATGCAATAGAGGAAGACTTTGTACAAAAGTCGATTGCTTGGGTACCTCTGTCCCATTCGTGTTTTTACCGTGAAGCAGTTGTGTTTGCATGGCTGTATTTCGGTTTGAAGGGTGGGATATGGCGTGAATTTACAGAGTACAGAGGAATAACATCTGAGTCCTCAGGAATGGCAACGCATGGGGAATGGGCAACGAAACAGTATACTCTGTTATGTCCATGATACTGTTCATGTATATAGGCGGCGGTTACCACTTTCTATCAGGTGGGCCGTCAGCTTGTTTGCCATTCTAAGTTGTATAAAAAAAATAAAAAAAAATGTAGGAATACTCCCCATTGGATAGAGAGACGTGATAAATAGTTATGAGCGATTCCTTTATAACTTTTACTTGTATGTATTTTGTTTTATAATTTTTGCATCTTTTTAATGGGAAAACACTCATTTTATTACATAATTATATATAGATATATCAAGGCACATTATGTGCGTAAGTATATAGAACACTGATAAAGAAGAGTCAGCTAATTAGCAGACAAAAAGTTGATCCGTTTTTGACTCGATGCTCTATCTATATTCTATATAATCTAGGCATAATATAAATGTAAATCAAGTAACATGTCTAGATTACGATACCGTTATACAAATGTAATTCAATAAAACTATTTTTAACATAACATATATGATGGCTAATGACTGTTTACAGCTTTACGATATAATTGTGAACAAATAATCAAAGTTTCCCACCCAGCAACCCCAAACTGCTGACCGAAAAATCTCCTCAGCAAATAAATCAAAACGACAATAGAAAACACACTCGATGATAGTCCAAACGTAAATCAGAACTGGCTGATGAAAAACAAATTCCAAATTCAAATGGGATCGAAATTCAAACATGCACTGATGAAAAGATGCCGCGTGCGTTGACAATTTTATTTTTTTCTCTTTATCCTTGTACAGGGCAAAGGAAAATCAACTTTGGCGGTGTAATGATAGGGTGAAATTAATAAATTACTGTAAGCAATAATGACTATAGAAACCATAGACAGTAGTACGGCTGCCACGCGGCACCGCGTCCCTTCATAGATAATAAATGCTTTTAGCAAATAATTACGATATTTGATTTTAGACGGATGATGGTTGTTGAGTAAACATTTGGCACGGATTCTGTCCGTGGGAGATATTTATGATGCGGATGGCTTAGCCTTGAGTTCGATGCGATAATTGGTTTGGAACTTGACGGATGAAATGATAAAACAATTATACTCATGATTTCCTTTTATATTTTCACCTACAATACAAAAAGGGAATGTTGAAATTTGTTTTAAATAAACAAATTATATTTATATTAAAATTGAGAAGATTTTTGGACGTTCATCTCAATAGTACCTACGCATGGGGGGTGTCATGGGCAAAACAGTATACTCTTTTATGTCCATGGTACTGCTCATGTCTATAGGCGACGGTTACCACTTTCTATCAGGTGAGCCGTCAGCTTGTTTGCCATTCTAAGTTGCATAAAAAAAGAACTTAAGCATCTAATAGCGCAAAATTGGGACGAGTCGCTAAGTAAGTTAAGTATATTTTTGTAAAAAAAATTACAATCAATAAATTACAAAAGCATTTGTGCTAAATGTTTATCTAAATTTGCTCTCAGACGAGAACTTTGAACGGTCAGTTCTTAGAAGCTGTAGCATGTCGTCCACTTTTTATTTCGTCTAATTTAAATTTATTTTTAAATCCACTTTTATCTTTATAAAGTGGCTTCGTCGAAGTCACCGTAAATGCAATATATATACAATTCTTTGTACCACGTAAATATTATATTATAATTAAGTTAATACTGTGGCATTCGTGCCACGAGGGTTTAAAGTATTTTAGGTATTTTCACAAAGTGGCTTAGGGTCATATTTTAGCTGACTTTAAAAAAAGAGCTTCTGAATTAAACAGGCTGTGTGAATTATGAACTGATTTTTATATTTTATTTTTTTATTTTTCTATTTTATACGACCAGCTGTTTCTCGTAGCTCGGTCTGCTTGACTCGATATATAAAGAATCCTATATGTTAAGTTGGAATATGACTTATTCGTTTATATTAATTTCATATAAATCTGTTTAGTCATTTAAGCGTTATATAAATTTCAGTTATATAACTTCCACAGCCTCACATATCATCACTCACTGGTGCCTTGCTAGTGTATACCGATAGCGCAGGTTCGGTTACCTATTAAACAACTAAATTCTATACCAAAAAAGAGGAACCGACTTCAAATTTGGCAAAACTAGTTATTTTTATTTCAAAACTAAATTACTGATGTAATTTTGAAAAAAATTCTAAAGAACGAATGTGTAAGTATATCCTTTGAGATAAAAAAAAAATTCAAATCGATTTACGATTGAGGTAACAAACATTAAAAAAAGAATACAATCGAATTGTGTACCTACTTTATTCGAAGTCGGTTTAAAAACACAGACTTCAGAAATAATTTATTATATTAGTATGTATAAGAATCCAATTATATGAATTTACCTAACAACGTAGTTTTGAAGAAGCAGTATCATCTCTAAAAAGGATTAAAGGGATATTTATTTAATTTGTTTTTGATCTTATTACAATTTTGTTAATAAAAAAAAATAAACAAATTAAATTAATAAAAGCAGTTTTGATCCTTTTATCGTGTACGTATGTCTTAAGAAGAAAGACAATAGAATATTTTTTTCTAAAATAAGAATGCTTTGTTTAATCTATATTCAAATTTTTGTCTATAGAATTGAATGGAATTCCATAGGGCAGCATGGTCTCCGACCTTAGCCTGTTCCACAACGGAACAAACGTACTAAAAAAAAAGGAATTCCATAGACAAAATTCAGTAATGACTCAATAAATAGATTAAATATAATAGACAACGCAATTTAAGTATTGTACGAATATGCAAGGGATATCCCCTGAATTCCTGACTGCACTAACAATACTCTGGATTCCTGCTTCTCTAATAAAAACAAATGACATTTCGCAGATTTACCCCATGATCGTCGCATACCAGACGTCTACAAATTTAAATTAAACAAGTGCAGATAATTTTAATAAAATTTATTATTCATCTAACAAGTTTGTAATCTTTATAAAAATATATTTTGATTTATTTAGAAAATCACTCCTCAAAATCGTTACTTGGTCTCATAAATTACTATGTACAATTGTACTAAAACTGTATAATATTATTAATTGTATGGCTGTATCAAAAATACTTATATTTCAAATACAATTTTTAAGTAATAAATTATTCACTAACGTTTTAGAAACAGTTCTTTTCACTGCAGATTCGGAACGTCTTTATCCATTTGTATTGCAATAAATTTATCGATACTGCATTAAAGTTTGCGATTCGAAACTAGTGTCGTTATCACTTACTACATCTATTTGCTCTTGATCATTATCACAAGGAGACTCGAACTGGTCTTTGGAACATGTGGTTTTGGTGCAACAGCACTTCTTGGTCCTACCATCGCTGGAGTTCAACGGAGTCTCTTCTTTCTTCAACTTAACGCGGCGGTTCTGGAACCAGATTTTCACTTGTTTCTCCGATAGCTTCAACCTTGAAGCGATCTCGATTCTTCTCAATCTCGAAAGGTACATGTTCATGGAGAATTCTCTTTCTAATTCCAAAAGCTGCGTGCCAGTGAAGGCTGTTCTGATGCGTTTACTAGAGTCCTCTTTCAATGGAAGACGTTTGAGGTCTTTCGAAAATCCTGGTAGGAGTTCCTCAGGGTGTGCTAGAGGAGGGCTTGGTGTTCCGTTTCTGCTTTCGCTCGATAATGATGGGGACCTCTGACCTTGACTCTTTGATGGCGATGTTGCTGTCGATTTGTAAGGATGATGCATGTACGGTGACACAGATTTCTTTCTTTTGCTCACAAAATTTATAGGTTCTTGCTCTTCAGTCTTCAAGTAACTTTCAAACGGCCTTCGGTCACTCTGAACTGGATCAAATATGTCCGGTTGCCGTGGCAACTGATGTAGTAGAGGATATCGAAAATTTAAATGCTCCAAGAAAGGTCGAAACAAATCTGGCGAACGTTGGGGGTGTTGCAATCCAAGAGTTAGTAGATTATTCAGGTTTCCCGGATACGTGTAAGGTATAAACTTCGGTCGAGTGTCGAAATGATGCGCCATTAAACTAGTGTACGAGTTCAATGGATCACTGGACATTTCTGGTTTCGTATCTTTCGTATCACTTATAAGGGTGTCAACTAAGAATGAACGCGACATTTTATGGTGCTTCCACTCGCTCCAATGTTTGCTGCAATACTGATCTCGACAGTCGAGCTCCTAAGAGTAACAATTACAAAAACTACCCCCACTTATTGCACCCTATTGTAAATAAACACAATAGGTCTCACTCGAAGCGTTTTGGCAATTACGTGGTCCGTCCCACCCTTTTGTCGGCGAGCCGTCAACCCCAGTTGTAGTCGAAAAAAAACGCACCATGAATGGAGCATTTTTGTTGCAATGAATAATTTTGTATGGGACGCTAACATCCTTAATATCTATCTCATTAAATCCAATTTGGTTACTGTTTTATATGCAACAACATTTTTAATCCTATAAATATTTTATTAGGACCAGGATGTTAATTTAAAATTTCTTGTCTTAGATGTTATTTTTGTATACTTAAATGAAATAGAGTTTTTTTTTTAACAAATAATAATATTATAGTTTTTTTTATTATTATTATTATATGTATCAGTCATTAACTGTTTATATTTTTTTTACAACACATTGGGCAAACGAGTATGCGGCTCACCTGATGGTAAGTGACTACCGCCGCCCATGATCACCCACAACACCAACGGCATTGCAGGTGTGCTGCCGACCTTTTAAAAGGGAATATGCTCTTTTCTTGAAGATTATATTGTCGGTTCGGAAATACTGCTGCTGGAAGTTGATTTCAAAAAATGGCTGTGCATGGAAGAAAGTGTCTTGAAAAACACACGGTGGAGGATCGTCACTTGTCTGGATAGTTGGGATGATTATCATTACTGAACGTAGGCATCTCTTGTAAGGTTTTTCTAGTAGTTGCCACGCTTGACAAGCGGGTTGGTAATCGTAGTTAGACTTTGGCCATGTTTTAAGAGAAACATTGTTGCCTATCTCTCGACCATTAACTTCCTTAGTCGTCTCTTATAACACCCACGGGAAAGGTAGGGTTGGCTTATTCTACACTTTTTTTTTTACAACACAGGGGGCAAACGAGCAAACGGCTCACCTGATGGTAAGTGACTACCGCCGCCCATGGTCACCCACAACACCTATGGCATTGCAGGTGTGCTGCCGGCCTTTTAACACTGGGATTATACGATAAAATATATAATATATAATAATAATATACGAGTAGTAATTAATAAAAAAAATGGTACATATTAATTTTAACGCCGAACACCTTTACTGATTTTTGTGTTCTGATTTAAAAGTGAGTTATGGCAGTGAAACTTCTAGATATCTAGACATAACACCTTAGCTCTCAAGCAACAAATGTGGAAAATCATGGGCATCACAATATATGTAGTTGGCGACTGTTAGTACCATCAAGTAGCCAGTTAGTTTGTTTACTATTCTAAGTTAAATAAAAAATATTCTGCTATGCAATATAGTACTGTTTGTCTATAGGGAACAATTAGATCCACAGAGAATGCTTACTATTTTTTTTTACCTACTTTCAGTGTTTATATCTTTGTTTGTGTAAATCATTAGTTAAAGAAACTTATTTGTCTCTCAAATTTGAAGTATCTATCGTAAAGAGTTGCACTGAAACTATTTTTTTTACTATGGTAATTCTTAGCAAAATTCTTCAGTTTTTATTTGGTATTACATTACAGTTGTTTTGTGATAATCATGGTGCTGTTCATGTACGTAAATCTATAGGCGACGGTTAGCACTTTCCATCAGGTGTACCGTCAGTATGTTTGTTATTCATAGTCATATAAATTGCTTAGTTGTGGTCTGAGGAACCTAAAATTGAATCTCAGCCTAACCTCTGTATTTGAGGGGGGGGAGGGATTGTTAGTAATGCGGACTACTAGTTCCGTTGCTTGCAATATACCCTATCAAGTCAACCTCAACGTGGTCCACCTGGAAAACACCGTGCTGAATTTTTATTTTATTTATTTATTAGTACAAATATGTGTACATGGCGGACTTAATGCTAAAAGCATTCTCTCCCAGTCAACCATAGAGAAGTGTCAGAATACTCGAATTTTAGATATATTCATTATGATGAGCTAACTGATCTGCCTTTTGACCTATAATCCTTCACTGGTACCTCGCCAGCGTATACCGTTAGCGTAGACGGAGTTATCATTCCATTATCATGCATTAAAAAAAATCTCTGCATTTTAAAATTCATGTTTGGATCTTCTGACTTCTTCACACTATAGAGGTCACCACCTCACATGACAATACTTAGTAATAAAAGTTATAAAAAAATATATGCTGTTCACTATAATTTTAGAAAGTTACATATAATTGTTTGCAATTATCAAAACCATACGATCCTTGTACGTAGCGGAGTATTAATTAAGTATGAAAACCCTATAATACGATCCGTATGGTACACGCGTGATTTTGATACTCTAAAAAGAAACCCCACATAGGGTGGGCATACGCTGGCCCCGCCTTTCAAAGTACCACCCTAGTGGAACTAGTTTATGAAATATAATAGGAATGAATAATGTCTGGTAGTATTATAATTGTGAATCAATTCACGTTATTATCATGTCAGTTTCAATTTGAAAGATGCATTTAGAAACATAAGTGGGTTGTAATGGGGTTCTATGTGAACTTTTGAAGCCCTAGAATTATGTTTTCATTGGCTTTTAACATACGAATTAATGGTGTTCATTTCACATTGGCATGGTTGTAATTTAATTTGCTCGATTGCCGAAGTGAAGCAGTACTGCTTCTGGATGGGTGGTCTCTGAGACCAACCAGTTAAGGGATCGGTCTGGATTTTATTGCTTTTCTATGTTTACTTTTTTTTATACCATAAAAGTGGCGAACAAGCTTACAGCTCGTCTGATGGTAAACCAGAGGAAGACTTTGTACAAAAGTCGTTTGCTTAGGTACCTCTGTCCCATTCGTGTTTCAACCGTAAAGCAGTTGTGTTTGCATGGCTGTGTTTCGGTTTGAAGGGTGGGATATGGCGTGAATTTACTGGGTACAGAGGAATAACACCTGAGTCCTCAGGAATGGCAACGCATGGGGGTATCATGGGCGAAACAGTATACTTCGTTATGTCCATGATACTGCTCATGTCTATAGGCGACGGTTACGACTTTCCATCAGATGGGCCGTCAGTTTGTTTGCCATTCTAAGTTGTATAAAAAAAAATGGCCACTGTAGCCTATGGACGCTTGCAACACTAGGAGTGTCAAGTGTGTGTTGCTGATACTGAAGAAATTGGTTCCTAATTTTTTTTGTATCGTTAATAAAGAAAATATAAATTACGAGTAGATTAACATTGTTAATTTTAGATTTTTTTTTTATTTTATTTTGTGAATTCTTTTTATAATCGTTAGGGTTACTCCAATTTTGTTATTATTAAACCAATTGTTTCCTTTTTCTGTTTTGCGGAGCAAAATCCGGCTATTGACAAGTATGTCCATACTTTAACATTTTACATATGACTGTGTGTGTTTCAAATTTAATTTTGGGAGGAGCAATTTATTTCTAAGCTTACATAAATTCATGATTAAATATCCTCTGCTTTGGCCTTCCCATAGACTGCCATAAGGAACGACTCCGAGCTACCTAAGTCGATAGACTCCCTGATTTGAGGACGTCGCTCCATCTAGTTGAGGGTCCTACTACACTGCGTTTGCCTGTACAGGGTCACTATTTTAGAATTCTTCTTGCCAATCGGTGAGAAGATATGTGAAGCTTTAATTACCATCAAGAAGTCTGTTTTTTTTTTTTAACGGGTAGTAATGTAATCGTTACTCCCGCTTGCGCTAACGGTATATCTTGGCGGGGCACCAGTGAAGGATTATAGGTGACGATGAAAGTAAATCAGTTGGCATATCGTGATGAATTCATCAGGAATTAGGCACTTCGGTTTTCAAGGGCATATTATGAATAATGGGAGGTCTTAATATTACTAACAATCCTTTCTGGGGAGAAGGGATTGTTAGTAATGCGGGCTGTCAGTTCCATTTCTAACAATATACCCTGTCAGAGCGACCTCCACGCGGTTCCCCCTGGAAAATATCGTGCTGATTTTCAGATGTATTCATCACGATGGGCTAACTGACCTGCTTTCTCATTCTCACCTATCATCCCTCACTGGTATCTCGCCAGTGTATACCGTTAGCGCAGGCGGGATTACCATTCTATTACCATTTATAGAAAAAAACCAATCCTTTCTGTCCAATTATCTAAATAATATAGTAAGATAAAAATCTGTATACGTACACACTCGGAAAATGTTAGCCTTTTTTATTGTATAGTCGGGTAAGAGCCGCAGTACAAACAAAACCAATTTATGTATCAACATCATGGTGATTAAAAAAGCAGTCAATAAAAAAATAAGAGATAAAACATATCCACGTAACGCGTCAACGGCTCAATGGAAATATACAAAAAGTACCATTATTATCGGAGTATTGTTAAAAAAATCCAACGCACCAAAATATAATCGCGATATCGCAAAACGTACGCGCAAACAATGGGATAAAAATAACAATATATGAAAGTGTATGTACTCGTATTGGCAAACATTACTAGATGGTAGATTTGCTTTCGGCGAATACGCTCAGATGATTTAGTCGGAAAGACTTTATTGCGAGAGAATAGGGTACAGTTTGCGTTGGTATATCTTACCACCCTCGCAAAACAGATGAGCAGACAAATCGACAGATGATAAAGGGTTATACATATAGCGTCTAACAACGGATATCTCGGAGAAAACCAGGTGATTGTATAGAGATTGGAATGATAAAATTATTTCTTTAAATGTTCTCTTTAGATATTGTACGTGATGTTTCACTGAACAATTATCAATAACGTAATATTAGAAAGAGTTAAATTTGATTGTTTGTAATAAATAAACTCAAAATATTTTTTTTTAATTTGATAAAGGTACTTTCTTAATTATACAGTACTATCGTACCTACTTCTGCAACAATTAGTCCATTACCTTAAGGTTGTCTTGAAAAGATTGCTCTCAGCAATAAGACCGCCTTACTGTACTTATACAATTGTATCGTTGTGTTTGTAAATTGTCTTGCTTATTACCTATATTGTATAA